GCAAAAGTAGTAAATGTCTATCCAAGGTGGTGGGTGCCCACTGTGCCCACTGGTGACCCTTACAGGCTCCAGTGGATCATTCCAATCCAACGGTCACACAGATAATCCTGGTTACACTTTATAAAGCAAAACCAAAGTCACAAGTCTGGGAGAGGGCCTGGGTAAGGGATAGGAAGAGATCAGAGAACAACGAAAAGCAGCCAGAAAGCATTCTTACAGAGCAGGCACTGTCAAAGCACAAAGATAATTGTATTTTTTTAGTTTTTAGTTTTTCAAGACAGAGTTTCTCTGTAGCTCTGGAGCCTGTCCTGGAACTCTGTAGACCAGGCTGGCCTTGAACTCACAGAGATCCACCTGCCTCTGCTGGGATTAAAGGCGTGCGCTAAAGGCCGCCCAGCTAAAAAACGCTGATTTTAAAAAGCAGATAACAAAATAAAAAGACAAACTCACAGGGGAAGACTCAACTAAAACAGCATACATGCTACAAAATTACACTGAAACATCTATTGTCTTAGTAGTTGATATTCAAAAAGCTGAAATAGTAGCTTAAAGTAACTCTGTAAATGTTTCATTTCTTGATCATTGGGTTGCAAAAAAAGAAGTTTCAAATATAAGTACATGTAAAAGTATAAAAGGGATAACAGTGGAATAAATGTGGTTCAGCTCCACCCGGGATGATTATTAAATCATTAAAAGAATGAATTGGGGGAGTTTGCATATGCAGTAAGAAAACCAGGATGCAGAATCAGTGCTGTACACTTTCCATCTCAATTTTATAAATCGGTAATTAAAACCATAGCACATATAATAAAATGGCATACACACCAAGAGCATGGGAAAAGCCCGGACAGTTAAAGATGAGACTGGGGCTGTGGACAGTGCCATGTGACTAGAGATCAGATGTGTTCCAAGTCTAGGTGGTTTTCTGGCAAGGAATGAGAAGAGGGGGTTTAAAAAGAAGAAAAGCCAGAGTAAAGAGGGGGAGTCACTTAAAATTACACTAATATTTACTAAAATCTTATTTTACACTATGTGTTCCTTTAGGAATACATATACAAGCACAGATATATCTATATTCTGTAGAGAAGAAAAGAAAAAGATTAAAAATAAAAGAAATATGTAATTAGATGTAAATACAAATTGTGTTTTACCCATGCTTGCATGGAATACCAAAACTTTATATTCTGACTGAGAATCTTTTTAAAACTTATCCTGTGCCTCTGCACCCCCACCAAGGCTTAATAATCACTGTTCTTTTCTGCTGACGACTTAACAACCATGGGGCTGATGGGAAAATGTGCATGTACTGGAACCTGGCCGATGGTTATCAAACCGGCTTTAGCACTCAGCCAGGGACCTGGATAAGCCTTTCCGCTGTGGCTCCCAATGCAGATGCCATAGTGCAATGCCTGGAGTCAAGAACACAGGATGAAGATGAGGGCGCTGAGGGAGGAAGGAAGCCCTCTGTGCTTCTGCGTCTGCCTCCCTAAGAGCTGAAGTGGGGCCTCTCCCCACCCCCATCCCTTTTCCATGATATTGTAAAGCAAGACTCTTTAAGAATCAGAGAGAGCAAATTACCAGTGTTTGCTTCTTGCTGTCAGTGTGAGTATCTTTATACAACCCCTCCATTCTCCGCCAGCTGACTTGACATTAGCACAGAGACCCCAGAGAAGAGGCTCATCTCTGTCTTGGTCAGAGAAGCATGACTTTTACTACATCGACTTTGTAGCATGTGGAACTCTGAACTATATGTAGCTGTCCTTGTTCCTCAGAGAAGACAATCTGATGAGAGGAGGGAAGTGATGTCACCCCGTGTCATCTACGACAACGTTAGGGTTGGCATTCTAGACAGTACAGCTCACCATGAATCCTCCCCTCTCTTATAACCATTCAGTAACTCATGACCACCACCAAAATACAATAAAGGCAACAACAGCCACAAATCCAGAGCCCCTGTGCCCCTGAAACCAGAAAGGCTAGATTTAGAGAACTCCTTATTTAACAGCATTTCATAACATTGACTTATAAGTCACCGAAGCCCTCCTGCCCGTTTGCTCCCCCCAAATTGGACATTTCAAATGTCAGTTAGAGAACAACATCGACACCTTGTGGTGAACATCCCAAAAACGAAACAGAAGCGCAACAGGGCTGATTGTCTGTTTACTGAGAATCAGACCTTCCACCCCAGAGTATTCTAACTGCCACACCCAGCACGGAAGGATTCTGAGAGATGGGGCTTCTCCGGGGGTGGTGTTAAACTAGCCTAGGCTCTCCAGAATGAGCAGAAGGGCTGCTAGCTGTTTTCCCACCAAACCACATGAAACTCCCATCACAAGTATGTAGTTTCGGTGCATGCCCTGGTCTACGTGCGTCAAGGTCCTAACTCACCAAGATTCTCTAGTTTACCATGACGCTCACAACAAATGTATAAAGAAACTATGCATCCTAGAAGCCTAACAATATAGTGAAAGATAGATTTCTTTATTTTTTTTAAATTTTGAGACAAAGTCTCACTATATAGTGCAGGCTGACCTGAAACTCACTATGTAGCCCAGGTTGGCCTCAACCTTGAAACCACCTTACCTCAGTGTTAGCAAGTGAGGCCCACTACACCTCCCAGCCTATACAAGTTATTAATGAGATTATACTCCTAAAAAACAGAATCAGAAGACTCGCTCTGGAGCTAAGGGCTAGTAACAAACGCAGACACAGTGAGTGTTGTTGTCGTTGGAGACAGAGTCTCACGTAGCTCAGGCTTGCCTTGAATTCGACACGTAGCCGAAGCTGATTATAAACTCCTGATCAAGGGGCAGGATTACAGATGCATGCCAGCCTGCCCAGCTGTGGCTGTGTTTTCAAATTATAGACCAAGTAACAAACATGTTATAAATCAAGAAGAACCAGGAAAAGAAAATATATTTTTAAAAATATCCCCATTCAGGAACAATATTAACTGAGTAAAGAAAAGAACAAAGAAAGCAGTCTGAGAGAGACACAAATTCCCAGCAAGCATTCCACATGGACCACAGCAGAAAGCTACGGGGAGAGCAATGCTTTCAGTAACGCACTGGCTGCCCACTGCTGTCTGAAAAAACTTGTACAACATTCAGTAACTGTGGTAAATACAACTTAAGAGTTCCTGGATGCAGGGTGACTCATTCAGTTCAGGAGGGTAATTTGTTTGATAAACAGGCATTTAATCTAACTCAGAAAAACTGGATCTTGGACCTGGAGCAGGGTTTGGTGGGTCAGGAGGATCCACGTGAAGTCTGGGCATAGCTAACAGCACCATAACCAGGACTGGGGATGGACACGGAGGACCCAGGAGCTTACTGACCAACCAGCGCAGCAGAGGTGCAGGCTACAGTGAGCAAGTCAGGAGGGAAGTGACAAAGTAAAACTTCCAATGCCTTTCTCTGTCTTCTGTGTGTGCATACCCATCCTGCACATGCGCACGCACACAGAGACATACAATGTGATACACCACCACACCCCATGTACACATGAAAGTGAGTCTGTGTTGTTATGAAGCAATGAGTTCCCACAACCGTGATAGGAAACACGCGTAAATTATACAAGCTACATACATAGCGTATACACTTAGTAACACACTTCCTCCATCACAAGAGCCAGAGGGGTTAAACAAGCTGGAGTCAACAGGGACATCAGAGGTGCCGGGGATTGAACTCTGGACCTTGTGCACGGCAGGCAAGTGCTTTTCCACTGGGTTATCTATGCCTGCTGCCCTACTCACAGCACTCCCTGTGGTATCGTATCTCTTTACTCCTGTTCTCTGCGATAACCTAGAGCTCTTGGCACCCTTTAAGTTGCCCTCTTTCCCTGTCGCACTGTGCCAAATGCCTCCCTTTCCTATGGCTTGGGATTTGTTTTTCTCCAGTAAGATCACACAGTCTCATACTTAGAAAATACCTTTTCTTTAAAAATGCTCTCTTGCTATCATTTTACTGAGAAAAACAGGTTAGGAAATGTTAGCAGTTTATTGACATTTCAACCCTTTCTGGACACTCTATTAACACTCACGGTGTCCCCAGTTCGGCAGACTCAAAGGGATGTCTGGTCAATTGGTAAATCCTAAGCAGTCAAACTGAAGACAACTCTCAGACACGAGTCAAACATCATCAAGTATATGCGGTTGCTCTAGAGACATTGTCCCTTAAGAGTCATTTCACAAGCCATGTGACTAAATTCTGTGCTGTCGAACAGAAGACTCAAGGCTCACAAAGGCCCCCGCACAGTGTTTATAAAAACAAGCGTGCATTCTTTGAGAACCCTTCTGGACTCTTCCACCAGGAAATCTATAGAGGATATGTAATGGTCTAAAATTTATGATGTGTTAGGTAAACATTAGAAAAAAACCCTACCCAAATCGAATTTCAACAAGCAGTCTTAAGTTGAGTGTGCAAGGGCTGAGTGTCACCGCTCACTGAGCCCCCTGGGAAATGTTCCTGATCATCTACCACATGTGAAGCAAAATTTTTCAGTCTTCCAAAATTAATCCCAAACATTTTACATACAGACATATGTATACATACAGAGAGCAGAGGTATTTAAGCCTCTGACCTTAGAGATCTCCAACGTTCCTACAGCCTGTCATACAGGATCTTTTTAAGATGACAAGCAAGCCAACCGCCTAAGCCATGCCTAGGGCTGCTGGTGGTGTCTCCTGGGGAAGGGATGGCTGGTACATTTCTGGCAAGTCCTTACTCTGCAGCTTATAGGACAGACCAGCGAGTACCACGGCCTCTGTTTTAAGATCCTCCAGCTTCCAAGTGCTCTAACCCACTGCCCAGTGAGAGGAAGTGGCTTTTCAAAGACTCCGCCGAGGAGATAAACCTAAGTCACCGGAGCTACAGAATTTATGGAGCTTTCACTAAAAAATGCTAAGCCTGAGTCATAGCTTCTTGAGCTCCGACACACCCACCACAGACGCACAAAGAGGGAGATCCATCCAGATCCTGGGGCTCTAAGGAGTTTCTTACCGCAGCAGAGAGAAGACGTCATAGGAATTGCGGACACAGTTCTGATCCACCTGAAGGATGTTCTTCTGTACATGGGAATGACCCTGAAAGACACAGTGAAGAAAGTAAACAGAAAGAAGCAAAATGTATGTACAGATCAACCACATTGGCCTTTCTATGGACATGACTTATGAAAGACCTTAAAATGTCAGAGACTTCCCAAAGTCTAGTGTAATCTCCGTGGAGCCGCTGTCGAACCTTTCGGACAAGTTCATTCAGAATCAATTCTCCCTCGCCTGCGCTCACGGAAAGGAGCAGTGCCAGCTGGGGATTGTGGTTAATTTCCAGGGACAACTGAGGAGTCCTTCAGTACATTACGTGACTGCCCAAGGGTGTGCTAGTCTTTCCACGAGGCTGAGCCCCAACACCAAGCTTTCTCTGGAAGCCCAAGTCCTCCTCGGGAAGATAAGAAACAAGTGTCCCCACCCATGCCAGCACTGCGGCTCCTAACAAGGATATAACACAGGGACGTAGGAACAAGGCAGGTGTCTCTGCTACTCAAGAAAGGCAGTATAAATGGTAGGTAACGAGGACGCAGGCCACAGGGGCTGTAGCTGTTGGTGCCCAGCAATCTGCAAAGCCCTGTGTTCCCCCAGCAGCCCTCATAAAGGAGACGGAGTGGTATATGTGTAACCATCATTTGGGAGGTAGAAGCAGGAGGATCAGGAGTTCGAGGTCATCCTTAGCTACATAGCAGTTTGGGACCAGCCTGAGCTTCCTGTGACCCTGACTCATAAGACAGTCTGGACTCGACTATCAGGATTCTATTTCAAGCCCTCAATACAACAAATCTGAGATTATCACCTAAACCTCAGTCGACTGTTTCCTCTGCATGTAACACAGAAATGACAGTAATACAAACCTCATCAATGTACAGGAAAGGTTAATATCCACAAAATGAGAGACACGCAGCCAACACTAAGGAACTGCTATAATAAATACTGAGGGAATAGGAGGGATGTGACTTAGTTAGTGAAGCCACTATGGAATTCCATGTGGAGGTTTCTAGAGAAAGTAAAAATTTTTAGGAATGCAAGGGGATGATTCAAGAAACAGAAAATCTAAGCAGACTTTTCACACATAAAGAAGGTAAGTCATATTTATTGACTAACAGGAAAAATAAAGATAAAAGATTAAAAGTGGGGATATAGAAGACTTGACTAGTTAATCCTAGAGTTACTGAAATAAGAACGACAGTAACAGCAATCCAGCTCCAAGTCTTAAGAGGAGAAAGGAGAGGGCAGGGCAAGGGGAGGAAGGAGAGAGTCGGAGGGGCTTCTTAAGCCACTATGAGATCACTACAAAGCTCACATCAAAGCCAAACAAAACATAAGAAAGCCATAGACTATTCATAAACATACACACTGAAATCCTCCACAAAATATTAGCAAAACTAATCTAGTGGTCTAGATAAAACCTCTATTGAGATGCTTATTTCATGCACCCTGGCAACTGCTTCTGGATATATCCCCAAAAGAAAGCAAGGATTTGAATCCAATTTGTCTATCTGTGGGCATAGTAGCCTTATTCACAATTACCAATGAGTGGAAACAGCCCAACAGTACACAGACAGGGGAAAAGACAAACAAAATGTGGCTATTCATATACTTAGCCTTGAATGAGAGAGAGAGAAAAAAAAATCTAGCACATGATCCAACCTAAGTTCTAGCCAGAACAATTAGGCAGGAAATACAAGGTATACCCAAATCGGACCAAATTAAAATGGAAAAAAAAAAAAAACTCCTGTTCTGGCTACTGTCAAGGCAGAAACAATACCCGAATCCATTCACAGATTTGATGCCTTTTCTACAGACATGGGAAAGCCGACTTTAGTTCACATGGAATCAGGGGCTGACAAACAACAAAAATATTGAAAAGAGAACAAAGAGACTTACATTTTCTGATTCCAAAATGTACTGAAAAGCAACGGCAATAAAAACGAGATGGTGCAAGCAGAAGAGGCCAAAGGAAGGAAAGAAACAGAACTGAGAACATAGAGATTAAACCCACGTATCTGTGACCGACTCTCACAGTGTAACAACAGCAAGGTGCCAGGGTATTCCGGGGACACAAGCTCTTCTGTAAACAGTGTGGAAACAACTGGACGGTGAGGAGCAAGTATGAAGCTGCACCCACCCCAACAGCCAAGAGTAAAATTACCCCAAAATTAACTACAACCTTAATAATAAAGCTAGTGTCCTTAAAACTAATAGAATCTTATCTATGACAGCCAAAGCATGGCCCACAAAAGAAATAATAAATTGGAATTTACTAAAATTTAAAACTTTATATAGGACATTAAAATAAGAAAAAAAAGCAACCCAGAGAACAGTAGAAAAGGTTTCAGATATAGTAATTAAAAGTTTAATATCCAAACTTGGTTACAATTTAACAAAGAAAAAAAAGCTGAATGTTAAAGTGGGCAAAGAACTGGAGGACGGATTTCTACAAAGAAAAGACGCTAAGGGCAACAGGCACACGAGGGACACTTGCTTGGCAGAGCTATTTCTAGAGAAACAGTAAGAAAACTGCAGGAGAGGCTACTTAGCCACATATGATGGTTATCATGTAATATAATACAGTATAATAATAATCAACAGCTTATGCTGACAAGGGCAGAAAACTCAGAACCCTACAGACCAATGTTGTTGCCATGAAAAAGTAAAAATCAGAGCTGCCTCAAAAAGGTAAAGCCTAGAATCATAGGATACAAACACAGCACCTTTACTCCCAAGCTCTGACCTAATAAAACTGTACATGGGCACTTGAACAAAGGTTATCCCTCAAATGTTATGACAGCACCAACAGTCAAAAGACAGAACAACCCAAAAGCTCATCCAGGCCTAATGAATAAAGAAAGTATGGTACATCCTCAGAAAAATTAACTGCTGTTATATATAATATGCAAATAACATACACTATAAGCAAATATAAAAACACACTAAATGAAAGATGCTAGACACTAAAGTCACACACCGTGTGATGCCGCTTACATGAAATACATAGAACACGTGAATTTGTAAAGATAAAAAGCAGACTGAGAGCCACCAGGGGGTGAAGAAAGGCACAATGAAGTACCAAGTTTTCCTTGTGATTAACTTCTACTGATGTGCCTATCTACGTCGGTACGTGTGTATGTGCATCTGAGTGCAGGTGCTTGCAGAGGCCAGAAGAGGGCAGCAGATCCCCTGAAGTTGGAGTTACAAACAGTTGAGAGCTACCTGATGTGGGTGCTGAGAACCAAACTCATATCATCTGTAAGAGCAGGAAGCAATCCTAAACCAAGCCATCTTTCCAGCCCTAATTTTTTTTAATCGTTTAAGCCAGCTGTGGTAACACATGCCTGTTATCCCACCACTTAGGAGGCCGAGGCAGAACGGCATGCTTAAGGCCAGCTCAAGTGAGATCCTCTGCAAAAAATACAAAGTAGGGGCAAGAAAGACGGTTCAGTCGGTAAAGTGTTTGCTGTAAAACGATGAGGCTGAGTTCGGATCTCAGTACTAATATAAAAGCCCAGTGCAGCATGGGCTTGTTAGCACCAGCACTAGAGGGCCGGCAACAGGAGAATCCCATGGGGCTTGGTGGCCAACCAGCCTACATGAATCTATGAACACCAACTGGGTTTAATGAGAGACCTTGTCTCAAAAAAGAAAGTGGAAATTGACTGAGGAAGACACTGACAGTTATCTCTGGCCTCACATGCATGTACACACATGTGTACATATACACCCACAGGCGAAAGAATGCACACACAGACAAAATTTAAATCCATACCTGCTAAACACACATCTACAAGCAACACATGGTAACAAGGAAAGAACTCTGGAATGAGGAGCTGCAGCCGGGCTTTAGTTCACGCTGCCTGTCAGGCAGGGAAGGGAAACAATGTAACTCCTCCAGTCTTCAGGGTCTGTAACTAAAATGAGACAACTCCTGAAAACACGGATGAAACATGAATGCTTGTGAACACATGCCTGTTCGGCCGTTCCACAGTCAGCTTGCTGTGGCAAACGTTCGCGTCTGTTGCAGCCCAGCAACTAGGAGCTATTCTTAGCCCCACTTTAGAGCTGAGGAAACTGAGACACAGGAGGATTAAGGGGAAGAGCCACGCAGTCTGGCTCGCAGCCCCTGCTCTTAAGGGGCTAAACTTGATGATCTCCCGGACCTTTTCCGATTCTAAAATTCTCAGTCTATGTACATTTAAAGCAGCTTAAGGATACTGTGAAGCCCTTTGGTTTCAGCCCACACTTAGCAATTAACATTCCTCCAATACACTAAGAGCCTCACTCTGAATGACATCTAACCGGACCAGCTGTGCAATCCTCCCGGCTCCGGTGAGGGTTATAATGGACAGGAATGGCTCATTGGTATCTGGTTATCTGTGGGAGATACTGTCAAGTGCCAAAGAGCCCAGGGAAGATTTGCATGCCACTCAAAACTCTTCTGAAACCAGGCTTAAGGATGTTTTTTTCCACAGAGGGAATTGTTGTCTGCCTGGTGAGAGCCTGGTAATCTGTTAGGGAAACAGACAATTCTACATCTCCAGCAAGCAGCGAGCCCAGCAGACCAGGTGTATTTCTAGACTAGCCGTCAGCAAACTTCTTCCATAAAGGGTCAGAGGGTATTTTTGAATCTGGGAATACAGCAAAGTGGTAAATGAGGCCCTGAGTTTGATCCCCAGTGCTGAGGCAGGGGATTGAGGAAGATGACTAAAACTCAGATAGTTTTCAGCTTTGTGCAGACACCTGACATATCTGGAACACGTTCTTCATTCTCACCTCCTGCAAATACTTGACAATGTAAAAACAAATCATTGCTGGTTACAGACCACGTAAAATATATGCTACGTTAGCTCTCCCAGCAAGGGCACCTTGAAAAACACTGGGACGTTTTATCTCTCCTTAGCATCCTTACAACTACAAAAGCAATACAGAAATAAATCATTTGCTTGCTAGGCATAGCAGCACACACCTTTAATATCAGCACGTGAGCAGGTGAATCTCTGTGAGTTCAAGGCCAGCCGGGTCTATACACTAAGTTCCAC